CTCTTAACAACTGTTTTCAAAACGTTATTTTCCAGCGTCGGAGATGACAACTACAGATAAAGGTATGTTTATTTAACATATAACTGGAAATTGTTAAGCATTATCATTTGTGACTAAATTGATTAACATTCTCTTATTTATAATTATCATTAATGTTTCACTTTATATCTATATCTTATTCAGTTAAAGCTTGGGTAACTGGCACCGAGGCTTTCCGCCAAACGTTTTTATTTGTTAATGGTTTTTTTTTTTATATAAAGTCTTTTGTGGAATTTACCGGAGAAAAAAAACTTACAAACGTTGCAATTCTGAGCAGAAAGCGTCGGAGCCAGGTTATAATTTTATATATCAAACACGGGTATTTTCGCTATCATTTATTAAAAGGACTTGTTTATTTTCAGCGCCAGAGATACCTACTACAGATAGCAGACCTTTTACAAAAGATAAACCTTTCGCATAGACACTCCTTACAGCTTCAACTGCTTTAAGCTTCTATAATCAGTCTAATTTTTCTTTCCTGCCTTTTTATTTTCAGCACCAGAGATAACCACTACAGATGGTAAGTTTGCCACTAATGTTACTTAAAATTGTTTTGTGTTCTTTTGTCTTCAATCTATCTTATCTCTTATATTTGTTTCGTTTTTTAGCACCAGAGATAACCACCACAGACGGTAAGTTTGGCATTGATTTTACTTAGTCTTACACTTTTGTTTTCAATCTATCTGATCCTTTGTAATTTTCCGTTTTCAGCACCAGAGATAACTACTACAGATAGTACGTTTGACATCGATATTATAGTCCGGTCTGTTAGGTCGAAAATCGTGACAAATCGGGCAAATTAGGCACAGATGTTCCTTTTGACATAAAAAACGAATTTAGAAGGGGTGCTACGTAATATGGCTTTCGGGGGGGTGGAGCATGACGCCCATAGAAATTACGCAATACTCAAACGGTGGTATAAAAGCGAGGCTGTAGCATTTAATGTGTTTATTACGTACCAGTTTTAACGAATGCCGTTGTAAAATGACTAAACTACATTACTCAGACTCAGTATTGTGTTTGTGTCCAAAACAAGTCATTTGCCTTAATCACGTGACATTCTTATAATGCTTTGAGCACGCTT